ATGTGTATCGATCGAAATTATTTTTTCACGTACGTGAAAAGGTCACTCGCGTGACCCGACGGCAGAAGAAGAGAGAGCGTCGAATCGAAGACGTTCGACGTTGCTCCTCCTGAATCGACGGTGTAAAGACGTTTTCATCCTCGCTTGTACTCGCTACATTTTTTTTCAAATCGCGTCGTCACATTCTATTCTAATCTTAAAAAGCGGAGAACACGCGATTATTCTAGTCGGTGGGTTTCGTAATCGCTTTGAGCGATGCACCGTAGGTTGTGTGCATCTGCTCGCAAAATGTCACACCGCGTGGTTCGGTCGGGGAAAAAAGGTCGAGAGAATCATGTGATGCGCGCGTAACGCGGCAAAAGGGCGACTGACGTGCATCCGGATCCTTGGATGCACATTTTGTCTCGCTGGATTTAGCCAGAGATCGCCGTTGACCGACCCACATCCCGCGTTCCCACGTGTCCCGCAGGATCCTCCGCAAAGTATATTTTTCCCATCAGAATTTATCCCGTTCGAGTTAGTTAGAATATTTTCTATTAGTAATTTTTATCTGTTCTATGAACCGAGTGGACGCATCGGGATTTTCGAACACGAGTTAGTCATACGATCTATTTTCGAGGATTACTAGCTTGGCACTCTTGGTTCGACTCGTTTGCGGAATTAAACTTCACGGTCTAATTAGGTGTTCACTCCCGGTTTGAAGTAACTGTTAGAATACTATAAATACAATGCGAATTTTTATGCAAACTAGAGTTCTCCCGACGTCGGTTCTGAGGAAATCTATTGGGTCGGGGAATAAGTTCGTAGCGTTTTTACCGAAGACTTTTATTTTTCGGTAAATCCCATTGAATGAAGGTGATTGAGAATCGTTTTATGATCGCAGTTCATTTTTTCCGCCAATTCACGACTGGTTTGGCGACCGTTCTCCTTTAAAAATGATTTGAGACGTTCTTCATCGAATTCAGAAGGCCTTCCGCTGCGGGACATGTCATCGACGTTAAAGTCGCCATTTTTTAACTTCGCAAACCATTTCCGTGCTGTAGACTCGCCTATGACACCTTCTCCATATAGACCAGGCGCTCGTAACACAAAAAATGGAATAATTTGTTAGAGTTTAGATGTTACCCGACTCAAGAATCTGAGGTAAGTGCCATGCTGTTCGTCACAGTCCTCTTACCAGAAGGCACCCTTGCCTTCCCCACTCCGTGGCCAGATCCTTAACAACAATTCTATATTTGTTAGCGCTAGGCCGCGCCTAGACACTTTAC